TGGATTCTTGTACTTCAGTTCTGTCAGAGAAGAACCTCAACTAATAATCACAATGAATGGCACGAAAGTTTATATAAGATTAAACAATATTTCCCCAATGTATCAGAGTCAGTCTTGTAGGAAAACATCAAAGGAGGAATCTTAGAGTGGACAGCAAGGAAACATGCTGAAGTTTCTATGTATTTTTGTAGTTGGCTCTGTTAGTGTTTTGATGAAGCTGTCTGAAAAAAACTCTCATTACAACATGAAGTACTATTTTACTGCTTCATCTGCAGTACTGCAGTGGATATCCATGAAAACGTTACTCAGAATGCGACAACAGCCATTTAATATGAACTTACATATGATGATTTGAACGAGGGAAAACTGCATGAAGGAGTGGATGCTGCCACTTAGGATGCAGGCTGTGGTCAGAGATCCTGGAAGGATCAGAGCACATGGTCTGGCTCCAAACAGAGGACCCCACTATGTGGTGACAGCTGAGGAGAGACCCAGGCCTCCACTGCCACTTGTCAAAAGACACACCGCCTCAGCTGTTAACTGGCTCTGGCTTTACGATGAGATACAGAGGAGGGGTTGTGGGGGGCGGAGGAGGGTGACAAGGGTCCCGAGGCTGAAAATAGACCTGTGAGTCTGTGTGGGGGGTCGAGCCATGTCCCGTTTTGGCTTTTCAGGCAGCTGTGAGACTCAGAGGAGATTAGAGCACTCAGAGGTGTCTTCATACTGAACATGGTGCTACATTGTTTCTCAGAATTGCAGGGTTTTGTTTTATTTGTGTGAACTGATCTTCAAAACAGACTTTTTTAATGCAAATATTACACATTTTAACATGTTAGGAACCTTGATGAAAGCAAATAATGTGTTTTGATTTAAACACTGTCAAGTAGAAGCTCCTGATTCAGGCAAAATAAATAATTCCTGCGAGCATCACAAACTAATATTGTACCTGTTTCCACCATCCGTCTCTTTATAGGCCAGCCCAGAAAAGACCAAACATGTGTGACGACGACGAGACCACCGCCCTCGTGTGCGACAATGGCTCTGGCCTGGTCAAGGCTGGGTTTGCCGGTGATGACGCTCCCCGTGCTGTCTTCCCATCCATTGTTGGACGCCCCCGTCACCAGGTGGGACTGCTGAAAGGGCCACTAGTTTCTGAAAGATTAAATTCTTGTAGCTTCATCACAGGCTGTCTGTCTTGTTCCTGAGATTCTGAGATGTGTTTGCTTCGTTCTCAGGGTGTGATGGTGGGTATGGGTCAGAAGGACAGCTATGTGGGAGATGAGGCCCAGAGCAAGAGGGGTATCCTGACTCTGAAGTACCCCATCGAGCATGGCATCATCACCAACTGGGACGACATGGAGAAGGTGAGATCTTTTTATTTGTTATTAGAGCCTAATCCTGAGTCATTTTATGTATATGAAACTGACCCCTTGACATATTCCTCCCTGTTCTTGTTACACAGATCTGGCACCACACCTTCTACAACGAGCTCCGTGTAGCCCCAGAGGAGCACCCCACCCTCCTGACTGAGGCCCCCCTCAACCCCAAGGCCAACAGGGAGAAGATGACCCAGATCATGTTTGAGACCTTCAATGTCCCTGCCATGTACGTCGCTATTCAGGCTGTGCTGTCCCTGTACGCCTCCGGTCGTACCACCGGTGAGTCTCTACCTTAAACTCCTTGCCAACATCTTAGGTCGATAAAAATGCACTTTATGTCTTCTGACAAGCTGCTGCTTTTTCTGGACAGGTATTGTGCTGGACTCTGGTGATGGTGTGACACACAACGTACCCATCTATGAGGGTTACGCTCTTCCCCACGCCATCATGCGTCTGGATCTGGCTGGTCGTGACTTGACTGACTACCTGATGAAGATCCTGACTGAGCGTGGCTACTCTTTCGTCACCACTGGTAAGAAGGCCCCAACAACTAACTGGGAATAAACACTGGATGATTTAAAAGACTAATAGAGGTTATATTTTATATGACTTATAATAGACTACGTAACTTTGGCTGAACAGTGACCATGGTGGAAACACGTGACATTTACGGGCAATGGGGGAAGAAGTATTCAGATCCTTTGCTTAAGGGGACCATTCACCCCCACATCAAAAATACATATTTTTCCTCTTGTTTGTAGCTCTATGTATCCATCTAGATTATTTTGGTGTGAGTTGTCAAGTTTTGGAGATATGGGCCGTAGAGATGTATGCCTTCTCTCAAATATAATGGAACCAGATTGCACCCGGCTCAAAAAAATATTTTTAGGAAACCCTGACGTAGTTACTCAAGATAATCCACAGACCATACTGGGATCAGTTGTATGTAGGAACTATTTACTTTCAATGCATCACCACGCAGAAGGAAGTGACATCTACAAGTGGAAGAGATTAGACAATGGTGAAGCTGTAATGTCAGCTCATACCAGACCAGTAGCTTATGGCTGTAGTAGAAAAATTCCTGAGTGAAAGAAAGAATTTATTTATTACTCTCATAATTTTTTCATTAAGCTAACATTTGCCACCATAAGGCACTGGTAGGCCTATGGCAAAGCAGTATAAGCTCCCTTTAAACTTGAGAAGACAACAAAGCTGAGTGCTGAGCCTCATGTTCTTTGACTTTACTTAACTCCTGGCTCCTGTAATGATCACACAAATCTGTTTGTAGATTATCTATCAGTGTGTTCATCAGTCGACTAATCTGTGACATTTCCCCCCTCCAGCTGAGCGTGAGATCGTGCGTGACATCAAGGAGAAGCTGTGCTACGTTGCTCTGGACTTTGAGAATGAGATGGCCACCGCTGCATCCTCTTCCTCCCTGGAGAAGAGCTACGAGCTGCCCGACGGTCAGGTCATCACCATCGGCAACGAGCGTTTCCGCTGCCCCGAGACCCTCTTCCAGCCTTCCTTCATCGGTGAGTCATGACAGCTGACCCAACACTCAGCAGCTACAGTTACTCTCTGTGAACACCACACATTCTGCAAGTCACATTATGTGATTGTGTTTCACGTATATACAGTGGATGGCTTGGAGAGTTTACTCCACCTAGTGGCCAAAGGGACATTACTAATAATAATAATATTAATTATAATAATAATCATTGGCCATCATTCTTTAAGAATACCAAAAACAGAATTTTCACAAACATAATGTATGAGCTGACAAAAACAATATTTTAATCAAAAATTATGATTATTATTTATTTTATTGTAAAGCACGTTGTAAGTTTTTTTTAAAGGTCCTATATAAATAAAGTTATTACTGTTATTATTTCTCTAAATATTTCCAATTAGCACTCACCTTTCACCTCTCACCTTCCCAGGTATGGAGTCTGCTGGTATCCATGAGACTGCATACAACAGCATCATGAAGTGTGACATTGACATCCGTAAGGACCTGTACGCCAACAATGTGCTCTCCGGTGGTACCACCATGTACCCTGGTATTGCTGACCGTATGCAGAAGGAAATCACCGCCCTGGCCCCCAGCACCATGAAGATCAAGGTGAGCCCTTATTGATCAGCATTAACTGGTTAAATCCAGGTGACAGGTAGTTCAGTATATTGTAAAAATGTTCTTGTACCAACCCGTGTGTCCTCTCCACCCTACAGATCATCGCTCCCCCTGAGAGGAAATACTCCGTCTGGATCGGTGGCTCCATCCTGGCCTCCCTGTCCACCTTCCAGCAGATGTGGATCAGCAAGCAGGAGTACGATGAGGCTGGCCCCTCCATCGTCCACAGGAAGTGCTTCTAAATCTCCAACCATCACCAAAAACTCTACACCATCTGCACCAGCTCCACTTCCATACCTGTATTTCTACTGTGCCTATTGCTGTATATACATGTGCCGTTGTAATAAAAATAGTTGCTTTTAACAGTAACAGTCTGGAGTGTTGGAATCTGTACATACAGGTAGCCAGCATTTCCATGAACATATCATAAGATGTCAGTGTGTCTGTTGATTCTGGATATATCATTTGGCTATGCACTGTTTCATCATTTTCCACTCACCAAAAGTACATATGAAAGAAACTGATGTTATATTCTCTTGCAAAACCCGATTTCTTTTATTCAATAGGTTGTCCAAAGTACAATATTGTGAGGTCAGGTGCTGAAATTAAATCATACATGAAGGGTAAAATACACCACAACATTTGTGATAATAACACCACCTTTTCTGTGACACCTCTCACACGTTAAGTTGTTAATATCACGAGTGCTGCTGGAGTTTTGACCCTGTAAGAAAGCTTTTCTATTCTCTGTGAAACCTGAAGAAAAACAGCCACTCAAATTAAATCATGCAGTAAATTCCAATTCCAATATAAAACCATATGAGATAAAAAAAATATCTTTTAACTTTTCACCTAACAAAGGTAAAAAAATCTACTGCAAATAAAAGACCTGCATTCAAAACTTTAACAACTTCATATACTGTTTGGTAGTTAAATACGTCAATTCATTATAGTCTATTAGATCATTATATGTTTGTAGTGTTTGAGAACGATGTATTTCTAAAAAGTCAACAGCTAATCCAATGGGTTTAAACAGTTCATATAATGTAAGAAGTAGGAGAATTTAACTTTATCAGAAATATTCAAATTCAAAATTACAAAATTGGGAGATTTGAGAGTTTTCACTGGACAATACATGTAGAAAAAAATATAATCTGAACGGTAACTAAAGCTGTCAGACAAATGTAGTGCATTAAAAAGTACGTTATTTGCCTATAGTGAAGTAGAAGTATAAAGTTGCATTAAATGGAAATACTCAAGTAAAGTACAAGTACTTGAGTAAATGTACTTTCCAGGACTGTCCATCACCACCTAAAATCTGAAGTCACAGTTATTTTCAAGTTGAAAGCTCATATCAACCACCTTCCCATGTCACCTGAACACATCATTTTCCCTTCACTTCCTTCTCACCTGTGCCACAGGTGATGTGAATGAGGGTAATAAAACCAACCTCTTTCATTCATCAGTGATTTTACCAACTGAGTAACAGAGATTACAGTGTCATAGGCTGTTGGATTCTGTCATTTTTTACATCTCTCAGTGATATTTTAACCATGAAGTTTACAGACAGAAATGTGATTCGGTTTCACCTTCAAGTTCTTTACGGGATAACTGTGAAGAGCTTTGACAAGAAGAAGGAGAGACTGTTCATCGGCGGTGCAAAGATCTTTGGTGTTCCTCTGGAGAATTTACCCAGGAGATACATTCCTGAGTTTGGACTGGTGCCCTGGTGAGTGGGATTTGGAGGACTAGGAAGTTTATGATATTACCCAGGACAACAGCTCACAGAATAATCCTATTCTTTTTGTTGTGTCTTAGCTTTTTGGTGGATGCTTGTTCATTTCTTCTGGAGCGGGCTGCGACTGTAGGCCTGTTCAGAAAACCAGGCTCTCTTCCTCGCATTAAGACCCTCAGGGTAAGAGTTTAACCTTTCTAGAGATAATTACTATACTTTAAACTGGCACAATTACGCCATCTGGTGGTACACTGTCTCTGTTTATGTCAGCTTTGTCTCAGATATGTGTGGACAGTCATGATACATGCAACCTGTAGTATTAGTGATGTGATGTGATATATATATATATATATATATATATAAAAATAATATTTCACTTCCTGTGTCTGTTTCAGGCCAAACTGAATAGTGGAGAGGGGTGTCTGTCCTCAGCCCTCCCCTATGATGTGGCAACTCTGATCAAACAGTTCTGCAGGGAGCTGCCAGAGCCTTTGTTTCCCACTGAGCTCCATGCGGCTCTGCTCAAAGCCCAGGCGCTGCCCACCCTGCAAGACAAGACTTCAGCCCTTCAGCTGCTGTCCTGTTTGCTACCTGCCAGAAACTCCTCCTGTCTGCATTATCTGTTTGACTTCCTCTCCAAAGTCTCCCACAGGTTTGAGAGAATATTAATAACTTGGGGAAATTAAACCCTGGTGCTCAGAGCACTGCAGTTAAAGACTACCAGTATGATTTTATATATAAAGCTAAACTTGATTTTGATTTTGGTGTAGGATCTGCAGTCAGCCGAACAGATGGATAAGATAATTTTTCTTACTATCACACTATGACTTGTGCCTTGCTAAACTCTGTCAGGTGTTGCCAGAATGAAGTCCTTACGCAGCAAAGTGACAAAACTATTTAAATATTTACTTTAAATCAGCAAACGCAAGCTGTTCTCTCTTGCTTTACTTGCTGATGTTTGTCTTTTCAATTTTCAGTTTCAATTTCAATTTTGCCATCAAGTACATTTTACGATATAACCCAAAATCACAACTTGGCACAACTTGCAGCAAATTTCAGAAAGTGATGACTTTGTTTGTCTGACTGGTTGTATAGACAGGACAGATGGCTTGTTTGATAAACAGCATTAGGCAGTAACTCATTTTTATTCATTCATATTCCTGACACCTGGGTCAGCATGTTAAATGGGCTACAATGATCGCAAAGACTACTGTATCTATAACTACTTTAGATAACTTACATTAGTACAGCATGTCTACTCCAATGGTTCCCAGCCACGTGTCCAGTAACCACTTTGAAACCACTCATCCAGATTATGGCCTTAGAGTGAACAGAAATTATATTCCAACAAATTATTTTCTTTAATGATTTGTTTCAGTTGTTTTTTGAAGCCTGACTCCAGGTTGGGAACCACTGGTCTACACTGAGGTTATAGCAAATCTTCTTATAATTATAATATATATTTACATATAATTAATTATTTTTTCCCTTTTACAATATGAGTTTGGATGTTCTTGAGTTCATATTAATGGTTTAATTTCATCTGTTTTCCTTATGTGCTGCTGTCAGATGCACTGAAAACTTGATGACCAGCTCCAACATCGCTACAGTCTTTGCTCCGTGTCTTTTACCACCTCCCAACAAGGCGGAGATGTCTGAAGGGCGACTTGAACTTAGATTTCTTGTCCTACGCACCTTCATTGAAAATCCTCACTTATTCGGTAATAAACCAGTCCTCTTGTCTTGGTTTTATAATTTTAATTAAGGGTTATTTAAACAAAGATCTTCACTATATTTGCTAGGTGTGATTCCTAAAGGTGTCATGGACAGTATGGAATATCTGATGAATTTCCATCTTCTAAAAGACACAAAGAGAGGACATAAAAAAAGACACAGTTTCAAAGGTAAAAACAAGGAAAAATGTGTCTAAAAAAATGGAGTTGTGTCCTTTGCTTTTCTTCAACTGAAAGCTTCCTGTGTGCACTTTATATTCATTTTCTCCAACACTTGCAGCTATGCCGTCTGTGAAGACGGTGCCTTGGATTCAAGGGAAGTCAAAGGTCAGAGCTACAGTCCCTGAGCAGGAACAAGGGTCTGCTTCTGGAGACAGAAAAACCCTCAGGAGAAGTTTCGGCCTGGAGACTTTTCCCAGTGTGATGCTGTTTAGGACCTGCATGCAATCAGAAGGTAAACACAATATGAACAAAGACACAGGTCGTGATGGATGCAAATTTGTGCAGAATGTAATGATGTTAAACTTGTTTACAGACGAGGGTTTCAGTCCTGAAACAGCTTTGTTGGGCAGTCCCTCCAAAGAGCCGTGCAAGACCCCGCAAGAGAAACTAAAAAGGTAAATTATAAAAGCATAGTAATTAATTTCACAGGATTCATTTTTATAATGTAGAACCAATTAAGTAATTAGAAAGCAGGGAAATAGGATATTTAAGAGTGTGTGATTAATACAAAATGTGAACTCTGGCCTTGTTTCCTGTGAGAACTAATTGGCGTGACTGCATCATATAATAACAATAATATACTTTAGCTGATCTAATGTTTCCTATCTTGTTTGTGTCCCTTTTTTTTCCTATCAGAGATCTGCGTTTGGTTAATTTCTCGAGGTTCACCAGAGGACCAGATACAGGCAGCTCTCCTGTGCTCACTGGTGTCGGGAAACTGCAGCTCACACCTTGGAGAAGACGCACTTCACTATAATGTATTAAATATTAAGAAGTTGTCATGTGGGTTGCTCAAAGTTACTGCAGCATTTTAGGGTATGATGTAATTTAATGTCTTAAATCAGATCACTTCAATTTTCAATTTTTACATTTTACATTTTAATGAATTTATGTATTTGACTATTTATTTCACAACAAGACTGTTGTATGGATTAAGTGTCACCATATGTTTACATCTAGTGAATAAATTGTTTGTTTTTATAAGTGTATAATTTTACTTTTACGTTTTTTTATATATAGCCTCTATATATTACTATAGGTGTTAATAAGCTCAGACATTTTGCCATGTCTATCATCTGTTTATTTTTGATTAAAATCTTGGATTAACAACAAATACCAAATTGACAGAGAAAAACAAAAAGGGGTAAAAATACTAATAATAAAGATAAATATTTATCAGCATATTAAATCACTACCAGAGATCAGGTGACCCCAGACTTCTAAGCATTATAGATATTGATTTACTTTGTCTTACTGAGACCTGGTTGTCCCACGAGGAGTATGTTAGCCTAAATGAATCCACCCCCCAGTCATATTAATACTCACATTCCTCGAGGCACAGGCCGAGGAGGTGGAGTAGCAGCTATATATGATTCGAGCGTTTTAATGGACCCTAAACCTAAACTAAATTATAATTCATTTGAAAGCCTTGTTCTTAGTCTTTCTCACCCAAACTGGAAAACACTGCAGCCAGTTCTATTTGTTATAGTGTACCGCGCTCCTGGACCGTACTCTGATTTTATATCTGAATTTTCAGAGTTTCTATCAAGCTTAGTCCTTAAATCAGATAAAGTAATTATTGTAGGTGATTTTAATATTCATGTGGATGTTGACAATGACAGCCTTAGTAATGCATTTATATCATTAATAGACTCAATTGGCTTCTGTCAGAGTGTAAATAAACCAACTCATTGTTTAATCACACTCTTACCTTGTTTTATCATATGGCATTGATATTGAACATTTAATAGTCTTCCCACATAATCCTTTCCTATCTGACCATTATTTAGTAACTTTTGAATTCATACTATTAGATTATAAGCCATTAGGCAAAACTTCCTACAGCAGATGTTTATCTGACAGTGCTGTAGCTAAATTTAAGGAGGAGATTCCTTCAGTGTTTAATTCAATGCCATGTCTGAATTTAACAGAGTCCTATAACAACTTTAGTCCCTCTGAAATTGATAATCTTGTCGATAGTGCTACAGGCTCACTACGATCAACATTAGACTCTATCGCTCCTATAAAAAGGAAATTATTAAAACATAGGAGACTAGCACCTTGGTATAACCACCAAACCCGCCAGTTAAAGCAAATAGCTAGGAAATCTGAAAGAAATGGCGCTCTTCCAAATTATCAGAATATCGCTCAAATTGGCAAGATGATCTTAAGATTTATAGAAAGGCCCTCCGTAATGCCAGAGGAGCCTATTACTCAGCACTAATAGAAAAAATAAGAACAACCCTAGGTTCCTCTTCAGCACTGTAGCCAGGCTGACAGAGAGTCACAGCTCTATCGAGCCACATATCCCCATAAACTTAAGTAGCAATGACTTCATGAGCTTCTTCTATAATAAAATTATTACTATTAGAAAAAAATTAATCACCAACTGCCATCAACAGTTATCAGTGGCTCTCCAAGTTCAGGGACTTCTGTCAATGTAAACTAGATGTATATTTAGACTGTTTTCTGCTATCGATCTTCATCAGTTAACTTCAATCATTTCTTCATCGAAGCCATCAACCTGTCTGTTAGACCCGATCCCAACTAGGCTCTAAAGAAGTTGTTCCCTTAATTGGCACTTCTTTACTGGATATGATTAATCTTTCTTTATTATCAGGATATGTACCACAGTCCTTTAAAGTAGCTGTAATTAAACCCCTTCTTAAAAAGTCTACTCTTGACCCAGGGGTTTTAGCCAACTATAGACCGATTTCTAACCTCCCGTTCCTCTCTAAGATTCTGGAGAAAGTAGTCGCCAAAGAGTTGTGTGACTTTCTACATAACAATAGTTTATTTGAGGATTTTCAGTCAGGATTTAGAGTTCATCATAGCACAGAGACAGCTCTGGTTAAAGTTAATAATACCTCTACTGCTTCGACAATGGACTTGTCTCTGTACTTGTATTATTAGATCTTAGTGCTGCATTTGACACCATTGACCATGATATTCTTTTACAGAGACTTGAGCATCAAATTGGCATTAAAGGAACTGCCCTAACCTGGTTTAAGTCATACTTATCAGATCGTACTCAGTTTGTACATGTTAACGATGAATCCTCCATAAATACTAAAGTTAGTCATGGAGTTCCACAAGGTTCTGTACTTGGACCAATACTATTTACTTTATATATGCTCCCTTTAGGCAACATTATTAGGAATCACTCCATTAACTTTCACTGTTATGCAGATGATACGCAGTTATATCTATCAATCAAACCCAATGAAATTAATCAATTATCTAAATTACAAACATGTCTTAAGGACATAAAATCCTGGATGACCTGCAATTTTCTGATGTTAAACTCAGAAAAACCGAAATTCTTGTTCTTGGCCCCAAAAACCTTAGAGACTCATTGTCTAAAGATATAGTCACTCTAGATGGCATTAACTTGGCCTCTAGCACCACTGTCAGGAATCTTGGAGTTCTCTTTGATCAGGATTTGTCATTTAACTCCCACATAAAGCAGACCTCTAGGACTGCCTTCTTTCATTACGTAATATTAGAAAAATTAGACACATACTATCACAGACAGATGCAGAAAAACTAATCCATGCATTTGTTACTTCAAGGCTGGATTACTGCAACTCTTTATTATCAGGTTGCCCCAATAAGTCCATTAAAACGCTCCAATTAATTCAGAACGCTGCAGCACAGTACTGACAGGAACTAGAAAAAGAGATCACATCTCTCCTGTACTAGCTACTCTGCATTGGCTCCCTATAAAATGTAGAATTGAATTTAAAATACTCCTCCTCACCTATAAAGCTCTTCATGGTCAGGCCCCTTCATATCTTAAAGAGCTCATAGTACCCTATTACCCCACTAGAACACTACGTTCTCTGAATTGGGCTACTTGTGGTTCCTATAGTCTCTAAAAGTAGAACAGGAGCCAGAGCCTTCAGTTACCAAGCTCCTCTCCTGTGGAACCGGCTTCCAGTTGTGGTTCGGGAGGCAGACACCCTCACCACTTTCAAGAGTAGGCTTAAGACATTCCTCTTTGATAAAGCTTATAGTTAGGCTGGATCAGGTGAGTCCTGAACCATCCCTTAGTTATGCTGCTATAGGCCTAGACTATCGGGGATTTCCCATGGTGCACTGAGCTACTCTCTTCCTCTCTCTTTCTGCACTCATTCATGTCCCTTTAATGCATAATACTGATTCACACTTAATTCCCCGGGTTTTTTTTTTTTTTCCTCTCTCGGGTTTTTTTGGGTCCTGGTGGAGCCTCCTGCCATGGTCCTGCTTGACTGCCACCAATCTGTTGTTGCTGTGCACCTGTCTGTCTGTCTGTCCTCTCTCTCTCTCTCTCTCTCTCTCTCTCTCTCTCTCTCTCTCACCCCAACTGGTCAGGAAGTAATGACCACCCACCTAAAGCCAGGATCTGTTTTAATGGTTTCTTCCTTTTAACAGGCAGTTTTCCTTGCCCTTGTCGCCAAGTGCTTGCTCATGGTGGTACTGTTGGGTCTCTGTAATTAATGTTAAAGAGTTCGGTCTAGACCTGCTCTATTTGAAAAGTGTCCTGAGATAACTTCTGTTATAATTGCGCTATACAAATAAAATAATAATGAATTAATTTTAATGGTTAACATGATCTCAGAGACTTTTCTGAGTCCTGGGGTTCTTCTCAGTGCAGCGCTGTTGTGGACCAGGCACAAATAATTGGCACAATGTGACAGCCAATGAGAAGGGAGGATTTTTTTGGTATCTTAGCAACTGCATCTGAACCGTGAAGTGAGGCGGATGGCGTCCTCCTGCAAGGTTGCATAATGGACAGCTATGATGACAATGGAAATTAGGGTTTTATTTCTTCAAAATAAAGTAGGAGGAAAAGCGGAACGTTTAGTACGAGTAACAGTAAAACAATAACATGTAAATTCATGCTAAATTAACTTTAATCAGAATGAATTTCGGCGAAATTTGGCAAGAAAATGATTCTGAAACACCTTTTCCCGTCGTGTTTGAGAGGCAAGCTTTTATTTTGGAACCCGGAAATACATGTTTTTATTCTGGCCAGTTTGAGGTCTCGCGCAGTAGGCAGGTCCCACCATCAGTGCGCGGACACGGTAAGGAAAATGTTATTAAATAGCCTTTTTGGACCATTTGTGATTCTTTTTTAGGTATAAAACCATACCTGTATTTAAATATACGCAATAAAATATAGTTCTTATTATAAATGGTTGTTTTTTTCCGTTTCATAGACATCATATAGGCTATTTATAGACTATTTACATCGGCCCTCTGTTTACAGAGTGAGTGGCGCACCAAGGCTTTATTACATTTACAGACAATGTATTTTATTGTTTCTATAAACCAAAATAACAGATAACATTAACAATAAAAAATATTTTAAAATCATTCTTTCCAGATATTGGCCATTTTTATAAATTAGCCAGTCATGTGTAATAGGAACAAGCAGCTGTGTTTGCACATGATTACACTCGCCTGTCCATCTTTTGTATAATAAAACCCGTTGTGTGTGTGTGTGTGTGTGTGTGTGTGTGTGTGTGTGTGTGTGTGTGTTTTCTCCGCAGATGACAGAAATGAGCTCGGCGGTGCGGTTACTGTTGATCGGCCTTCTCCTGTGCCTGCAGCTCGGCAGGGCTCCAGCCCGCAGCCCCCGCACGGCGGACCAGGTGTCTGAGGCCGACATCCAGCGGCTCCTGCACGGCGTCATGGAGCAGCTGGGCATCGCTCGGCCCAGGGTGGAGTACCCCGCACATCAGGCCACCAACATCGTCGGGCCTCAGAGCATACAGGGTATGTTGGGAGTATTTCTAAATGGAGTCTTTTACATGTCAAGAGAGGAACCAAGAAAAAAGATTCCTTATCTTAAATTTTAGTCATTACAGGGAGATGTGGACTTATCTGTTCCACTGTATATCATTTGTTATTCTTACTTACTTTTTCACTTTTAATAAACAACAAAAAAGAAACATGACAAAGAAAAACATCTAGTCCTCAAGTCTGACAAGCTGAAACCAGATAATTGTTGGTATTTTTGTTTGAAAAATGATTCAAACAGTTAATTGATTATCAAAATAGCTGCAGATTAATTCATAATAATAATTCATTCATTTTGGACCTTCCAAATGCTGAATGTGACTAATATCACTGATCATTTCTCAGGGGTTATATACAGACAGAAATACTGTAGTCACTGAAACAACTAATAAAAACATGTTGTAACATGGAAATATTGTCATATATCAGTGGTTCTCAACGTTTTTGGTGTCAAGGACCCCCAGACTGGTACAGATCAGGCCACTGACCAGTATTTGATAAGATGTAGTCTCAGGTATTGTGAAACCCATGAACAGAATAGTCTTCCTTATCCATTCTCTCACTAAGCTAACTTCTAGTCAATTAAATAATAGTGAAATTAAAATATTCACCCTTTTTTCTGGGGACCCTCAGGGCTCCTTGAGGGTGTTTCTGGTGGAGAACCACCATCATATATGACATTATATAAATAGCAAATGCTTCATTGATACCTATTCTAGTATTTTGAAGCTTTTTTCCAAGCTGGTGTTGTTTTTGTTTTTGTGGTGATTGCAGTGTTTGTTTACCTCCACAAGGTGGTGCTCATGAGGGGCTGCAGCACCTCGGCCCCTTTGGGAACATCCCCAACATTGTGGCCGAGCTGACAGGCGACAACGTTCCCAAAGACTTCAGTGAAGATCACGGATACCCAGACCCTCCAAACCCCTGTCCCCTGGGAAAGACCGGTAGAGACTCTTGTTCTAAGCACATTATTTAATAATAAACTGATATCTCTTTATGTGGCTGTTATTAAAGCTGCCACGGGGCCAGTTCTTTCTGCTCTTTACTGTATTTATTTTCTCTGTGCTGTTTATGAATCTGAATCAGTAAATTAACTACTTTTTAATAATTGCTGGTGTTTTGAACAGTTAAGGTGATGCATTCTCTTCTCCTTCTTTTTCTTCTTTCTCTTCACCTCCTTCTGTATCTGCACCTCATCACATTCACAGCAGCAGATGGGTGTTTGGAAAATGCTCCGGACACAGCCGAGTTCAGCAGAGAGTTTCAAAAACACCAGCACCTATTTGACCCAGAGCACGACTACCCAGCTCTAGCGAAGTGGGTGAGTACACAATGGGACTGGAACTCATTTTATTCTTATCATGGATCAATCAAATGCTAAAAAATGCTCCTTGCTACTTACTTACTACTTACTTCCCATAGCTTCAAAAAGCTTCTTTCTTCCAAACAACACTCAAAAAAACAAATATATTCAAATTACAAGGAAATAAATTACGATGAAATATAATCAGAATATTAATACTGTGCAGAAATACCTCATTTTCTCCAGATAGATGTCATCAGAAAGTGGAAGTGCAAACCAAGTAGAGGTTTATTTTGAAAAGAAATGAGACACAAGTAAGTGTTAATGTGGGGTATTGAGATTTTGCAGTATGATTAGACTTCAGTGTCAAAAGATAAATTCTCTCTCGTATTTTCCTCTCTGGATGTTGGGAACAAGCAGCCCCGGCAGCTTTCTTTTCTCGTCTTGGCAACAGCGTAAAAACAAAATGAAGACAAGATTTTTACTAAATCAAACATAACGTATCTTGGTTTGTCTGGCCTGAAGAAGTCACCCCTCTGAGTGTTTTTATTTGCTGAAAAAAGGCATTCAGGCCATTTGTTGACTGTAATTTAGGAACAAAGGAGAAATGATTTAATGTCTGAAAACTGTTTTTTTCTGCATTTCCTTTCAGAACAAGGAGCTTTTGTACCAGAAACTGAAGGGAGGACCAAAAAGAAGAAAAAGGGTATCGTGTTTGTCTTTTTCCTCCCTAACCACATCATCAGCCCTGAATTGTACCCCTGAAGGGATCGACGTACTCTTAAACTCACTGTTTTTGTGATGTTTTCTGAACAAGAATCTCACTTTGGATTTTTTTTTAGACAAAACTTGACTCATAATTTTTATTCTGACTTAGCTCTGTATGGTCAGATGTCTTTATGTTTGCAGTATGTGTTGTAATAATTTTGTCCCCCTCCCTGCAGAGTGTCAACCCATATTTGATGGGCCAGAGGTTGGACAACGTGGTCGCCAAAAAATCTGTTCCTCACTTCTCCGAAGAAGAGGAGGAAGAGGCACCGACCGTCTCTGCTGCCAGCAAATCCACAACCTAAACTCTAGCACCTGCAACACTCCCTGTAATATGGAAGTACACTCTCAGATAAAAGCTATTAACACTACATATTTAAGCATTTTGGTTAACAAGCAATGGAACACAGTAGAAGTACGGTAAAATAAGAAATAGTAAGAAGAGAAAAGTGTTTTATTGTTTTGCCAACATATTAATAAGGCACAACATCTGTCTTACAACATGTGCTCTTATTTCTAACTTATGGGACTTTTGCATTTAATAAAGCATCACAAGCCGAGAAGTCCAAGGAGACAATTTTAGGGCTTTGTTGAAACACAGACACTCGTCTTTTACCTTTAAATACATTTTTGAAGTCAAAGCTTCATAAACAGCAAGCAGGTTGGAATTTATGTTGATTTCAGAAATGAATAATAAAGCTAGCTCATAGAGGGAAAATATACCCCCGAAAAACACTGCAAATTATCTTCGACCACTAATGCTTACACCATTAAGTATAAGTGTTAGCGATGCAGAAATTGGAAAGATCCAGTTCCAGCAGACCTACTGTGCAGCACAGTGCTAACTTCAAAAGTGAGCCAGATATCTGATATAGTGGTATCTGATATATGAATATTTAAGATCAAAGCCATGTGAGTCTCAGTTCACGTACACAGACTAGTTTTGAGGCATATAGAACAGTCACATTACCTGAGTTTCAACCATTTAACCCAAAATGCTGAAATACAATGTGTTAAAATCTTGACTGGCAGTGTACAGTATATCTACAGCTGTATTATAATAAGAGGTTGTACAAAGATATATTGATTTGGAGAATCATAAAGTTATTATTACTGTACAGAGATCAGTTTACGCTGAAGTTTCTGAAGTTTAATTTTTGTATGTATTGATATAACCAGTTAATCACCTTTGTGTCATTAAGATTCAATACAGATCATATTCTTAGAAGTTAATTGATACAAATTGTTGTAGCTTTGCTTTGTCACGTAAGGGATGACTGTCACTGTAGCATGATTAATATCTATTCACGTCACCATACTGCAGTAATGAGTCTTTATGGGCAGCACTGAATCCGTCCTGAGTCGGTTCATCTTGACAAAAATCGTTGTGTTATTATATTTTTTAAGTTGAATAAACGATTGTGTGCATTGACAAAGACTGGAGTTGGGTTTTTCCCCCGCGTTCAGACAGATAAAGTGAGCTTCGGGAGTTTTTTTGGGGGGGCGTGTTCTGCTTAAACTCTGAAGCTCAAGACAGTTTAGAAAAGCCCTCAGTGTGTCACTCATAAAGCCACTACAGAGGAGACAGGACCTGGAGAAGGAACACATGCTGTAAATTGTCTGACTGGATAAAGTTTTCTAGCGAGGAGCTTAAATAAACAACAGGTAACTCAATTTAATAACTACTGATTTTGTTTGTTAAATTTAATTCTTAAATAATCATGTGTTTGAAAAAAAAAAATGCATATGCTCTGCTGGTTTTGTGCGTAATGCGCGCGTAAAAGCTGTGCGTAAAATCCTTACAAAAGCTGCATATTATTCTCTCCATCAAAGACTGACTTAATGTTTTTTTTTTTTTTTTTTTTTTTTACCAGTCAGCTTTAGTGATGAAGACACCCTCGGTGCTGATCTCTGCAGTAGTTCTGGCGGTGCTGCTCAGCCCGCTGAGGAGAACAGACGCTGACACCTTTCAAGGCGCATTCCCACACCCAAACAAGTACAACCCACACGAATCGGACAGATGCCAACAACCAGTCATCAGTGGACTAATTTCCCGCGGGACTGGGCCTGTAACCTCAACCGACGAAGTGCTGGAGTCCAGTCAGGAAGCGCTGCACGTCACGGAGCGTCGGTACCTGCGCCTGGACTGGTGCAAGACGCAGCCGCTCAAGCAGACCATCCAAGAGGAGGGCTGCCTGAGCCGCACTATCATCAACCGGTTTTGCTACGGACAGTGCAACTCCTTCTACATCCCGAGGCATAATTACCAGGACGGAGACGTCTTTCAGTCCTGCTCTGCCTGCAGACCTAAAACCTTCAGCACCGTCACTTACACCCTCTTCTGCCCGGGTCAGACACCCAGCACCAGGAAGAAACGGATCCAGCGCGTAAAGCAGTGCCGCTGCACAACAATAGATACGGATTAGACGCAAAACTAACACATCCAGGTCGATTATATCCTCTTCAATTTGGAGGAAAGCTGCAGCTCTGAAAAAATTTAAAAACGGAAAGTGTATTTTGCTTAAAGGACAGAAGTGGGAAGGTGAGGAGCTGACCTGAGCCTTTTTTATCATTAGAATGGATAATATACACGATAATCAACAATTTGCCAAGAATGTAACAGACAACATACATAAGTGGTTGATTCTAAGATGATATTATGACCTGCAATTAATAATGTATCCCACTGTCCAGATATCTTGTAAATTATCAGCCATTGCTTCCATAAAATCAGTTAATATGTGTGAGTGAGATTGGAAGGATTTGTTTGCAGAGGGATTTTGGGGGGTGGGATTTAAAGGTGAGGGTTTAGTGACATTGAGTGCCAATGAGAGCACGTTTAAGCTTAAGTCAGGCTGGTGTGTAACAATTTATATTGTTATATTTGTTGCAGACATGCAGGCTAATGGATGTGCAACATGTGTCCCTTTTCAGAAAGTGTATATGGTTACATCTTCAAAAGACTGGGATGGTTGTATTGTTTCCACTGTGTGGGATGTAAAGCTGAAGGCTTTCATTATAGAGTATAAACCTGCACTGCTAAATGCCACTTCATTTTATGACTGTGTATAATATGTGTGTCATTTATTGTAAAGTTGCTTGTAAATAAAACAGTTTCCAAGCTATGAAATCACATATTTTTCTGATCAGTGATTTTATTTATTGAAAAATATTGAAAAGATCAGACTTTACATGTCAGAATCAAAGCAAAATGTAAGTGCAGTATAAGAATCTATACACAGCTGAAACTGATTTCCTACATGCTTAAAAGATTCTTTCAATCTTTTAAATTTAAATACATTTTTAGGTAGCACATTATAATACATAAAGCTATAAGCTGCTGTAAGAATAACAGACAACTCTGTAAAAAAAAATGTGAAAAGGTTCATCTTGTGTTATAGACATCCACTCTGATCCCGCTTGGTGAGGATGGTTGTGTGACATTTTACACCTCCTGAGTCTCTTATGATGAAGACATGTTGGCTTCTTTCTGGCGCAGTCGCTCTTTCTGTTGGGAGCAAATTCTGATTAGACTGCAGAGAACTTCTTTGAATTCAACCAAAGCAGCAATACAGAACATATTTGTGAATGTGTATTCATCTGCACTGCATGTTCAAAACCTGGTTTAGGGAATGTCTGCTGCTGTGGTTTTTGCCTCTAAAGTATATCAACTCTACTGTCTTGAATCCTGTCTTACCAGACTGTTAGGGTTTATCTTTCTGGTCTCCACCTTCTTCTCTCCTGTGATCCTCTTCACTGACAGCTGAGCCTCTTTTAACCTGCAAAAACAACAAGTCAAGTTCGACTTTATGCTAAAAATTTGGCACGTATATTAAAAATGTAATTCTTAATTGTATAAAGTTAATGTATCAACCAGAAAATGGGTCCATGTGTAAGTAGACTTAAGCCACAAATTAGTGGCAGAAATTTCTTTCTGTTACCATTTATATAAAGTAAAATAAAGTCAGTGTCAATACAAGTTCATTTCAATCAAACCAAAGAAGACACAATTGAAATTAATACTTTCTTTAGGACAAAACAATTTTTTTAAATTTCTGATATGAACACATTTTTTTGGACTGAATAAACACACAGTGGTGCTTCCAGGTGCAGATGAACAGGACTGGTCAGATACCTCTCTTTGGAGAGGTTCTTGTTCTCCCTCTTCCACCTGGCCTTGAAGTCGGCACAAAACTCAAACCAGAGCATGAAGAAATGACCGGTGGTCACCTCCTTCTCTCCCGTCTTGGGCCTCAGTCCAAAGTACAGAACCAAGTCCTGAAAACTGAACAACAAGTACAATAAAAGAGAGGGTTGAAATCATCATCAACCAAGATGGAGGTGTTAGCAGTTGGTTTAAGTTGAACATGCTGTTGCTAGTAGCAACCACTACTTGCAGAGTTACATAGCACTTTAACACTTTGACATCTGCCATTTTGTTTCTGTAGCTCTGTAAACAGGCAAATATTACAACATTCTAACTAATAATTTGCTAATTATTGTGGACTTTATGTATTTGTTTACTAGTTTAATGACTGTGCTGTACTTTCTATGAGAGACAATGAAACTAATTTGACAGCTAGCTAAGTTAGTCTATTATTTTGTGAATCCACTTATTGTTACTCTATTATTCAATACCCTCAGTCGAACTCTTATGTATGGAGTATCATCTTTTTATGATTTGCAGTCTTTGTAAACCTTTATTGGAGGCACCTATAGCTCACTGCAAAGCTGCACGCAAAGTGAAGGTAGAAGACGACATTCAGGAAAGCATGATATTTGGTAAGTGTGGAAATATGAAGAGCTACAACACCCTGAGTCGTCACTAAAAATGATCAATAAATACTGAAACTGATGATGATAAAAATGAAAACACAATTTAATCCTCCAACCTTTTTTGTACAGTCATCAACTGATAGGAAGCGTCTGCGTGTTCTTTTCGTGCTACAAAGAAACAGACAAGGAAACAGTTTAGGTGTATCCCGATTTCACAAAAAAAAAAAACAACAACCCAGATTACATTTTAAACAGTCATAATCCCTATGGAGACTCCGTTGATATAAATACTTGAACAGGAACACAATGAGAATCTCTTGTACGAGGATGGCCACGTCAAATGGAGCCAGACGACCATTTGGGTCTCTTCAAAACAGTAATTACACAGTCAGTTATTCAACAATGGAGCCATTCTTGCTGCCACTTTCAAATTGCAATGCCATTATCACAAAAATAACAGGCACACTACCTGTCTCCCTGTAATGTTGTGGGATTCTGCTTTAGCCTCCAGATAATAGTCCAGCCACTCACTTAAGTTATCTATCTAAAAGTCTCCAGTGCAACTTTAGTCCAATTGATGAAATATTTTTTGAAGAAAGACACATTCTCTTATAAAACTTTGTTTCTTTTGGTTGCTGCAATTGAAATGCTTGTCTTAAGAACATCTTACCACCTGCATTTTAAAAGGGAAATATCAATATCAAATGAAAGACAAGTGATATAAGGGATATACAATCTAGTCCTGGTTGGAGCTCACTCTCACTGTTGTTTAAGAGACAATTTGGGCTTTATTTTGATGTGTCACAGGGCCAGAAAAAGGGATTATATCCAAAACAACAGCAATTATAATGCATCTATGCCATGTGAAATACTGGCGGACGGGAAGCTCTTCTGTAATGCAGGACCTCTTGTGATTTATCTTAAGACGGGTCAATATGAAAATCTTACAACATGGAATGCCTCAGTTAGTGTGATGAATATTTCCCAGTGCCTGTGTGTCTCAGGCAGGAGTCTCTCAGTCACTGCCAAATCTGCCTGATCCCTATCTGAGTGTCTAGCCTTTACTCCATCCTATCTCCCTCACACACACACACACACACACACACACACACACACACACACACACACAGATACCAAAGACAGTCCATGAAATAGGAAGAGGGACAAAGATATTCAGGCCAGTAACAGGATGAAGCCAATGAAAGACAATAGAATAGTTTATATGTAGCATATGGTGAAAGAAATTGAGGAAGAGTTGACATGTTCCTAAAAGTAGACTGGGCTGTTACATGATGATCACTCTTGGGGAGTTTTCATTGCATCTCAGGTCTTAAAACACAGTTAACCCAATCTGTAGTCATTGACATGTTTCCAAACTACAGCCTTGCTAAAAGTAACACTCGAGGTTTGCAGGTGCGCAATATATTGTATGTCTGTAACTACTCACCACTGAGAACAAAAGCCTCCATTTTGTCTTTGAATGGCTGCAGGTGTTCTTCGGGAGAATCAGAGCAAACCTTCTGTACATCTTTCTCACATTCTGAAAGAAAAACATGAGAATGGTTCAGAAAATGAGGGAAAATACACTCAACTTTTCTTTTTATGTTTCATAAATTTAGTTTAAGGATAAAAGGGTCACATTTTGTAATGCCCAGTAAGT